GGTGGTAGAAAAGAATATTAGCATTGAAGCTATGCCTAGTGCATGCGGTTCTTGAAGATGAAGAGTACACTGGATACCTTTGCAAAGTGTACGAGATACCACTGCATAAGCTTGATTGCTTCGAGCGTTATGATGCTATTAAAAAGTATCAAAAGCTTCTATAATTATACCAATAAACACTGATAAACTTATTTATCATTTTCATATAATAGCTAAATTGTATTCTTTAATTAACGAACCGATATGATGAATTTTATTTTCAAATTTCGTATATGTCACGTACAACGTATTAAGACCCTTTTGAAATGACAGGGTATTCGCGAGAACTCTCATCCAAAACGTAAACAACGCAGGAAACAGAATTTCAATCAACGGTTGGATAAGTGTTCTTATAATCAGCACCAAAGGAAGTCAAGTTGAATACTTCCGAATTACAATAGACTCCATTTGTCCTTTCATCCTTTCATACACCCAGAACCATCCCAGTCACTGTTCCAAGCGCGCCCTGTCGGCGTCATTTGCTCCCGGCAGCCCGATAATATCCGCGTCGCGGAGTCACTTATTGGGTAGTTGTCTAATCGACTGTGGAGCTAGCTATAGATATAGCAGCAGTACCGGTTAGCAACGTGCCAGCCTGACTCCCTCGATTAGTCTGTTTAACGGCGCTAATTGAACGCGAAACTGCGCGCCGTTGTCGGCCACCGCGTCTTCTATTCTTCCCACGGAGGAACCTAGCCGGTGTACTCCACTGTTTTCGAACGAAACAATGGAAAGGGCCAAAACCCTCAGAACATTTGTACAGTTACAAGTTTTACCTTGGTTCACGTAGCGATGAAGGTTATCTCGGAATTGGCTGGAACGATTCAATCGCAAGAATAGCGATTCGGGGGAATATTAAGCCCGGCAAATTGGAACGTTCGAGTGACCCAGTTGTGAAGGAGTTCCAGCGATGAATTCAAGCCAGAGAAAGAAGTCGAATTTGTGGGTGTTCCCGAGAGTGTTGGCCTTAGAGGATGAACAAAGAGATCCATTATGTTCGTTAAAGCGTTCTTCTTCGGGGGTAGTAGACCGAGGGAATAATTGCAGTTTTTCTGCTTGCGAGATGTTGCGCTAGACTGGTTGCAGTTTATCTGAACTGCTGCGGTGTATCGAAGAATGCAGAGAACGTAGGATAATTGAATCTTTTTTTTTTGCGAATAGTAAAGTAGAATAGATAATGAGAACTTGTTCTGGTAGAAATGGTATATGAATCTTTCCTAGCATTGATTCACAAATATGGAGACGTTAGACGTTCGAATGGTAATTGCTGAACGATCTAGTGTGTGCATCATCTTTGTTGGAAGAGAGGATTTTTGCCGGAGATCTTTTGTGAAGTCAGTACGCCGGACATTCAATATACAGGTTCAAGATAGCTGTTTGACCAGGCTCTTGATCCCTCTCTCGAGGCTTCCCTTATCTCGATTCGCTTATAGAAAAGATACAGCTGTATACTTTTACGTGCTCTACTCTCTCTTCTCTCCCTCTTTTTCTCATGCTCTGGCTGACCCATCGACTCGAAGGAACGGAGTCTTACGATCCTGAAACGAGGGAACGTATTGCATCGATCCCTTCACGATACCGTGAAAGATGCGGCCGCTTTTATGGGTGCTTTTTTTCTTTTTTTTTTTTATACGACGCGACCATGTTCATTTCCACGGAGCTGTGCTTTTCCTTCGCTTTGATCGGGAGCTGATACATCAGACACACGGTACAAGGCACTCTGGGATCGTTTCTGCGTTTCCATACGTCTAATTCGATGGGATGGAGTTTTCTATTCCATACGAATGGAATTTTTGTGTTTCTATTTACTGGAACTTCTGTAATACTGAATGCCTCTGAAATAGCTCGTCTTCTTAGCGATTGCATCCATCTAGATGGAAAAGGAGAGTCGACTGTATGGTTTTTATATACGTAATTTTTACATTTTTTTTTTTATTTTCACATATCGATTTTTATATTCTGTGGTATTTTGGTTGTTTTGATAGGGTTCAAATACATATATTTATCCCTTTGCAATCGAGTGGCGTCTAAGAAGCGACATTAAATAATTGTCACTTGGCGAACAATTAATGAAGACAGAGAGCAGATTTATGGACATCTTCACTATAGTGAAATATAGAATATATTTAATATTTAAATAAAGTAGTACAGTTTATTTCTACGTCAGTTTTGAAAAATTTCAAAGAAGATCCGACTTGCAACCTTTCCTACAGCAAAATGACCTCCGAGTGCAATGGGTTAATGTAGCATTTTTATAAAGTTACTCTTCACTGTGTCTCCAATGTTCCAGCTACTAATAAGGATTATTTCTCTGTTTCAGAACTCGTACATCCAAAGAAACAGCCATCTCCACCTCCCACCCCCGGGTCTGCTAAAAAACGCCTGTTAAAAGTAACGAGAATAATTCAGACGTCGAATAAAAGAATTTTCCAATAGGTGTTCCATTGGGAAAAACACTGACACGTATAAATGAAAGCGCGTAACGCGTCGTATAGGTGTTTCCGCGACCCTCATCCGCCGCGAGCGGAATTGCCAGCGTAAGAGCCGATAATGGGGCTAAGATCGAGGAATTAGTCGGGTCACGATCGATCCCGTGCGCGTTTCACTAGCTCTCGAAGATGCCCGAGGAGGATTCGTAGGCTCGAGTCGCTGCTCGCCTTGCTGCTCCTGCTAATCCCACCTGGAGGTTAATTAAAGTCGATGATCGGGTCTAATGGTAAGCGTTCCAGCGTCAGCAGAAATACAGACCGACCGATTCACCCTTGTTCTCCCTTCTCGAAGCCTTTATATAAAATAATTCGAAACGTGGCGAACAGTCGGGTAGAAAGTAGGATAAGTATCACTGTGAAGTTCCTTAGGTCTGTTTTTTGTCGAAATTACAGTCATTTCGACAATTTCAGAGTGGCTATTTGAATGTAATATCGCAAGGACGAATATTCAACTGCAAAGTAGTTCAAATCAACCGTGGTGTCAGACACTTTTTAGCGTATAATTGTAATTCAAGATACCGAGCAATAACTCGTACTTCATCACGCACTTTAATTTCACCAACTTCTTCGGTGCTGTAGTAAGATTTAAAAGCATCCAGTGACAAATATCTCCGACCCATACGCTTAATCTTCAGCAGAAAAACAACTTCGAAAAAGCTACGACTTGAGTAGAACTCCCGCAAAGTAGATACTGTCTACCGCTGGCCACGTCTACCAAACCGTCGACCTATATCACTGCCACTACTTGCACGGAGAGAAACGATGATCGAATTCGATGACGTCGTTTCCTAGATCCACTGGGTCGTTCTCTACGGCTTTCAGATATCCCTGTGGAACGGTCGAAAATCTTCCAGATAGATTCGAGAAGAAAGATTCGAGCGTGGCCTGATAAGCGGCGGTCGTATCAGCGTCGAAAGCCGTGCGCCTGAAACAGCTTATCTCCTTCTTCCTGCTCTTCTACGCTGGCGCACGGATGACGAAGAGTACGTGATCCAGTTAGACGACACTGAACTCTAGCTTCCCACACCTCCATTCTCCACCCTTCTCGAGACTGATAAGTACTGATTTCCATAATGGTTCCATGTACGAGTACGCTCGCTCTCCTGCCAGCCTCGGGCCACTTTCCGCCGCCTTATCGAACCCCTTAGACTGGCAACCCGATCGATACGAGATTGATTCCCGGTTGATTTACGGCCCTGTTAAATATTCATCGCGATCAACAGGAATTAAGATCGTTCAATTACCGGTACGCGTGGAGAGAATCTTCTCGGAGTGAAAATAGAAGCTGCTCCCTTTTCAGTTTTAGACGAGACGCTTCTCGTCCTTATCTTTAGGAGAAATAGTAGCATGGAAATTAGGACACCGTTTCGTGTCCAGGACAAGAATTGCTCTTTGGTAGCAAGAAACCACTGGCTCGTAATTCTTACTGTCTCCTAGAAGGGAGCTAGAATATCCTTTCTATCCCCGTGTCTTTCTCTCCTCTAAAGCGATGTTACGCTTCTTTGCCACTTACGAACAGCGTTGGAAACCTTCTTGCGATTACTCGTGAATCGGGTTCGATTTTCGAATATCTTTTGACGTCTAAATTGGATACTTTGACGGTGATATCTGTCATTTCCACGGGGGAATATCCTTCGCACCGTAGTTTCTCCTACTTCTCACGTGGCCTCTGTGCACACGCACGTATCAGCGACACCCGTTACGCTTTATCTCGCATCAAAGTGCGATGAAAATTTCCGGCGCGAGATGAGAATTTGAAACGAGGTGGAAGATGAATAGGATTCTCCCGCGGGATTATTTTTCTGATGCAGAGGCGAGTGTCTGGCATTTCGAAATTCCCCCTAGGAACTTCGTGAAACGCGTCAGACCGTCCTCGCATTTAACCACCGTCGAATCAAACGAAGTTTGCCAAACGAACTTTCCCCTCTCTACGTCGAATCAGATTTCGATTTTTCACCGAACCGGGGACCCTTGCCGCGACGTGTCTCCTCTTCGATATCACCTGTTGCAGGACACCCTGTGTCCTGAAAAATCAATCGCGGACGTGTAGAAAGGCTTAGGAGAAGGGAGGCAATTTTGACGGAGGAAAAAAAATCTGGATGCGAAAAGAGATGCCTGCGAGTCTAACTTTGCGAGAGTATCGATTTATCGGGAGACGACGGTCTGTAGGCGGAAGCAACAGAGAATAGAGGAAGCAGCACATCCGGGGTGACGTCTGAACCGGTTGCTACTGAAATTTCAGGGAAAACCGCAAGCTCGCGTCGGGCTGACGCGCAGTTAGCGCTCGAACAGGCCTAAATGAAGAGCGATCGTCGCGGGGACAGGTGATCGATAGCGATTGTGCGAGCAGCGTACGAGTGAGGCTGTGTGTGTGCGTGTGTGTGCGTGTACGCGCGCGCTCGCTCACTCGCTCGTGTGATCCCTGGGTAATCGTGGCGGTGACGCGTGGGGGCAGGGACGGAGAGGAGCAAGATGGAACTCTTCCTGATTCTCGTCTGTCTGATCGCGCCGCCCACCCTCTCGCTCTCGATCAAGAGCCAACTGAATCCACGGATCGTTCAGACACGGTACGGGAAGGTGCAGGGTGTTATACGATCCTTCGAATACGCAAAGTTCCTCAAGCCGATCGACGTCTACCTGGGGATACCGTATGCCACCCCACCGATCGGTGGCAACCGATTTTCACCGACCAGGGCGCCCAGTCCGTGGGAGAAAGTCAGGTGAGCCATGATATAGCGCTTTGTTCTATCTGATTGCACGAGTTATGTAATGGGATAAAGATTGATAAAATGGAATACTGTCTTGGGAGAGGTAACCTTGGATTGGAACCAGCAGGATATTGATTTGTCAAATTTTTTCAAATTTAAGTGTTTCGATGATTTTGTGCAGAATTTTTTAAATGTTTTGACGGGGTACACCACCTTGAGGCATTTAACGCTAACAATAAAGATCATATTTTTCCGAAAGGAATACAGATGATTGTGAATTTAACCCTTCGCACTCGGAGGTCATTTTGCTATAGAAAAGATACCAAATTGGATCTTTGACACTTTTTAAAACTAACATGGAAATAAACTGTGCTATTTTATTTCAATATTCAATGTATTCTCTATTTCACTATGGTGAACAAATTTATGGAAGCCCATAGATCTGCTCTCGGTCTTGATTAATTATCTGCCAAGTGAGAATTATTTAATGTCGCTTCTCAGTCGCCACTCGATTGCAAAGGGTTAAAATAGGAAATAACGCAGGAAATAGCTTGTGGATAATAATGAAAAGAAATTATATATCAAATTTTAAAACCGGTCATTTGACCGGGCATGATATGGTTAGTGTTAAGAATAGGCAATGTTTGGGAAATTTTTTCAAAGGTAAATACTAAATTTTGTAACGTTTTCACGTTTTAGAAATTGTAGATAAATGCTGAAAGTTGCATGTACATTCTCAGGGAAAGTGAGAACTCTTCATTCAGTAGTTACCTGTGAATAATGTCCCCAAACTTTTACCTATTTTTAGACGCCTGAGGGTGATACATTCTCTTAGCTATTCGAAAATTACACCGAATTTGAGAGATCCTAACGCAACATTTGATAGTCTGAAAGAACAGATTATCATGTCAGGATTAATAGTGTTATAACAAAATTTCATATCTAAAATTTTTCGCTACTTTTCAAAAGTGTCAGGGCCACGTGCAAATTTGACAGTGAAGCGTCTATGGACAATCTGCAGGAAAGGCCTCTGTGCTCTAGATTGAGAAATGTTTGTGCAAAACTTTCCCTGCAGATGTGCCTGTTTCGTGTTTCACTTGGGACACAATACAATAGGATAATTGATAGCATGGAATATTAATTGGAGATGTGGAACAAGGTCTAAAGTAGCATGGATTGAGTAGGAACTGGGAATTTTGTACGGCGAACATTAAACAGAAAGCTACAGCAAGATTTAAGGAAACTGATTGACGTATAAACCGATTGAATACAGACAAAGACAGGGTTCTCAAGGTTTAATTAGTTTTTCAGTATATGGAAGCATTCTTTTCTAGAATTTTATACGTGGGGATACTGAGACATTTAATTTGAAATTTTACATTCATTGTATCGAGATTCATGGAAGTTTCGACTTTCAGGAAACATTCCTTAAACCAGGATCCTTTTAATCCATAAATCCTTTGGTGTATTATGGCATACATAACCGGCGAAGTTATGTCAAGCTGCTCCTTTGAAATTCGTCCAACTATTCGCGCGGCCTTTCATACGCGCCGGCCTGTCATTCTGCACGGGCGAGATAAAAATATACTTAAACTTCTCGGTAGAATTCACTCAAACGTCGGTGAAACAATTTTCAACTGCTCCATTGCGGACATGAGGGAAGAAACGGTGAAGGAGAAAAGAAGAGGAAGAAACGTGTGAAATTCTCAGACCAACACTGTTCCCCATATTCTCGAATACACACCCTTCCGAATGTTCCACAGAGGCTGGTGATTCTTTCGCTTCGCCAAGAACTCGACTGTATACGCTCCATGCTAGCGAAGCAAAAACGGAAACACAATTATACACGACCTTAATCTCCATACATTACGGTGAAACCGGTTGGGACAAAGGTGCTGGTAACGCCATACAGTTGGAACACGTAATTAACTAAACATCCAGCACTCGTTGGCGATTCGTTGTCAAGAACAGACCACCAGCTAACCACATTTTTCCAACTTCTAAAACCCAAGAGTGCTCTGCAGTAAATTCGAATTTAGTTCGTGGATCCCCTGTTTCTTAGGATCTCAATTTCAAAAGGGCCTCATTATTCAGTGACTCTAAAGTTCCACGGATCCCAATTTTTCGACGATCTCAAATTTAGAAATCTTCATTTTCGAGAGACCTCAAAGTTTCAGAGATCTAAATTGTCCAGATATCTCAAACTTCCGAAGTTCAAAAATTTCCAGGGATCTCAAAGTTCTAGAGATCCCAATTTTCCAGTGACCTCAAAGTTCTAGAGACTCTACTTTCCAAATATCTCAAACTTCTAGAGATCTCAAACTTCCAAAGATCCCAGTTTTCCAGAGAACTCAATCTTTCAAATATCCAAAATTTCCAGAGATTTCATAGTTTCAAAGATCTAAATTGTCCAAATATCTCAAACTTCCAAAGCTCAAAAATTTCCAGGGATTCCAAAGTTCTAGAGATCCCAATTTTCCAGTAACCTCAAAGTTCTAGAGACCATACTTTCCAAATATCTCAAACTTCTAGAGATCTCCAACTTCCAAAGATCCCAGTTTTCCAGAGACCTCAATCTTTCAAACATCCAAAATTTCCAGGGATTTCATAGTTTCAAAGATCTAAATTGTCCAAATATCTCAAACTTCCAAAGCTCAAAAATTTCCAGGGATCCCAAAGTTCTAGAGATCCCAATTTTCCAGTGACCTCAAAGTTCTAGAGACAATTTTCCAAATATCTGAAACTTTCAGAGATACAAAATTTCCTGGGATCTCATAGTTTCCGAGATTTCAATGCTCCAGATATCCGAATATTCCAGGGATTCTCATTTTCCAGGGGTTCCAATATTTCAGGGATTCTCATTTTCCAGGAATCTCAATATTCCAAGTATTTTCATTTTTTAGGAATCCCAATTTTCCAGTGACCTCAAAGTTATAGAGATCCCAATTTTCCAGTGACCTCAATGTTCTAGAGTCGCTATTTTCCAAATATGTCAAACTTCCAGAGATCTGAAGCTTTCAGAGATACAAAATTTCCAGGAATCTCATAGTTTCAGAGTTTTCAATGTTCCAGATATCCGAATATTCCAGGTATTCTCATTTTCCAGGGGTTCCAATATTCCAAGTATTCTCACTTTTTAGAAATCCGAATTTTCTATGGATCTTCATTTTACAGAAGACCCAATTTTCCAATCATCCCCTTATTTCTAAGTCTTTCTTCCGTCAAGGATTTCTGTTCAATTTTCCAATGAAGTTTTCCAGTATCACAAAGAGCATGTACTGTATTATTGGTAATTAGATCATTCATTAACCTGCGTAATCTGCCGAGAATCGGACGATCGAACATTCGTCTCTAACACGCACAACTACATTAAAGCAAATCCCTCTTTCCAGATTATCGGACTCTGTCGGTCCAGTCTGCCCCCAAAAGCTGCCCGACATCTCGAATGAGCAGGAAGCTCTGGAGCGTATGCCAAAAGGCCGTCTCGAGTATTTGAAGAGGCTATTACCCCATCTACGGAATCAAAGCGAGGATTGTCTCTACTTGAATATCTACGCACCGGCCATGGGTGAGTGATTATAGTCATTTTTCTTCGAAAAAGGAATTAACCAGGTCACGAGATTAATCTCTCTACTTGAAGTACGTCTACGTATTGAAATACATGTGGAGGATCCTTGTGAGAATATCACGGGTGGGTAATAAATAGCTGAAAGTAAAATTAATTAGAATTTAAATTAAAAATTATTAATCAGAAATTTCGAACAAGTAAAAAATTGAGGGAAATGAGGTGGCAAACATTCTGCAAATAATTTTATGTCTTTCTAGCATTTTATAATATTCTACCTATTAACTTCGTTCCATTTCACATCGTTTCTAATAAGTACCCCATTTCATTTGAAACTGTTTTTGAAGCATTCCTCCATTAACCAATACGTGTTCAAATACTTTCAACATAGCAAATCATCGTGTTTGCTTGGAATTCCAAACGGAACGATCGTTTCATTTGCTTCAAAGTTAAATTTAACCCGTCGAAGTTGCTTGGAAACAACTAGCGTACATATTGAAAAGCTTGGCTGACCCATGACGTATCATTCCACTGCGCCTGGCACATTCATCGAAGATAATTGCCAGCCGCTCAGGCATATTAATTTTACCTAACCCGTTTTCAAAAGGGTAAAAAGACACTTTTCGAGTCGCTTATTCATCGTCACTGCGGGAAATCAACAGCGGGTAAAGAGGCAGGGAGTAGGAAATTGTAAATGAACCGGAGACTCCGGAAAATCCATTTTATATGCGAAACTATGGCGAACAAACACACCGTTTCAATATTAAGCACACTTGTCGATATTGAATACTCAAACAGCTCGATGCTGCCATTCCCCAGCAACTTTCCAAATCCCCCTTCTCCTTCTGCTTCCGCGCAATATCCGGTAAACACGATAAAAACAGATAAAGCTAGATTTCGTGCTTTCGCGAGTGTCGAACATAACTTCGTACATCTCGTTACCTTGGATCTAGCTTTTCGTCGATTCTCTGCCTCGTTTTGAATCTCGTTTAAAGGGACCTGTATAATTGTGGAAAATTAGATTCACCGATAATAATCCTTTCGGTGTTCCCATTTTTAACGAGAGAATTACTGTTTAACCGTCAGACACGGCACAGTGCTGACAAAGGGGAATTTATGAGATTTACTTAATCGACGTCGTTTATTAAATATTCGGCAAAGTTTATTAGCGTTTCAAGACAATCAGAGAACGTGTAATACGTAGAACTTGTTCCACTGAATATCGTCGAGAATGGTTTCAATGTTCCCAACAGTTGCTTACTTGTAAAAATTCTCAATTCACTGCCTATACGGTACTCGTGCAATTTGCATCTGCCACGGAAACGTGACAAAAATCGCGGCAGGCACGTGCAAGCAACACGTTTCTTTTCATCTCCGAGCCTCTTTCTCACACGCGGTTTTATTTCTCTCGCGACGCGTGCACCAGGCAGAGGAACGATTTCAATAATAGTACATCACGGCCTGTTCCCCGCGAAATAGGAAATTTTACTTTTTCCAAGCGCCGACCCCATGAACGCCAGTTTTTCTTGCACCCTCTCCTGGGCCGGAAATTGAACGGCAAAGGCGACAGGAACGCCGCGACATTTTCTTGCGAGATACGTGTGCACGTTTACGCGTCTGCGGCTTGACTCAGTTCAGGCAGTTCAAAATGCAGATTGTTGCGAGAAGGCGCTTTCTAAACGTCTGACGAAATCGTAACGCCCGCAAAGTTTATGTTAATTACCTACTGCCTGTATATGATTTACAGACACACGTGAAAATGAATTTCGCGACAGTTTAATTCGCGAAATTGCTTTTACCATCTTGCAATTATATTCAGTTATACTATTGTAGCGTGTAACTAGTGCGCGCCAATAGAGAGTAAGTCGCACCTAGACCCGCGCCAATAGAAAATAATATTAACACGCACCAATAGGGTGCGAGCGTAATTAGCAAATTAGGTACCTGAAGCGTGTACCGATAGGGCACTCTCCACGGTCCGCGCACAGGAAAAGGGCGTATATAAGGACGCCCGAAAAAGGACAAAACAGGTAGTCCGGGACAGCGAACCAAAAGGAAACCCTGTACGCGAGGCAACTAGACATTTACCAGCGAGCTCTGTATCGACAAAATAAATCTTGTACAACAATTGGTGTGTGGTTTGAGGAGCAACGAACCCACACTATGGAAGAATTGTCGTCGAGTGTTTGTAAAATGATTTTTAACCCTTTGCACTTCAATGGCGCTTTCATGGCGACACGCGTAATTACTTTGGAGAAATGTACAATTCAGACTTTTCTTATATTATTTTATATTATCAAAATAATGCAAGTTAACACAAGAAATACAAATAAATAAATTCGTAAACACTAAATATCCTTCTTTTTTTTTTCTTCAAGACAAGACTTTGGCTTTCCAGAAGTCTCAGTATTAATCCTATCAAAAAATACTCGGAGTGCAAAGGGTTAAGGAAGTTTTCAGTGGATCTTACATTTTGGGAATTAATAATAGGAATTTATTCTGGGATTATACTTGTTCATACAGGGTGGGCCACTTGAAGCAACCTACTTATCTTCGCTAGCTATGATGGTATATGCAAATTTTTCCTATTTTGATTCTTCAAGATCACCTATGATTTTTTACATGAATGTTGGTATATATTTTCTCTACTGTATTGTTGTAGCAGACATTGATAGGCATTTAAACGTGCATAATAATGTGACATTAAAGTGACTTTGAACTCTAATATTTTAAATCAAATGTGAAAGATCCTTTCATTCTTCTTTTTTTGCCATTTCTTCTATCTGTTTCACCCTTTGAATGCATTGAAATTACGTATAAAAATAAAATAGGAAAGAATATATGCATCTCTGAAAAAATAACTGTGACCTTAAAAAAACTCGGATAAAATGGCCTAAAGATAGTTCTTCTTCAAAACCATCCAAATTGTGCTTTAAACGTTTTTCATATCATTAACAAGGAAGGAGATATTTAAATGGCCTCTTTCAGCTGAAACACCCTATACAGGGTGTCCTAGATTTTTCCGACTGAACTTCGTCAGTTTGTTCTACAAGTATAAGTAAGACAAAAATGTTATATAAATATAAGTCGTTTGAAGCTTTATTAAAATTACAACAATAATACGAAATGAGAAGGGAACGGTAACGGGTGTGCGGTTATTATGACACAAAATGGGAACACACTACCGGCCAAAAGTTTGGAATCACCTCCCACTTCTCATCAATATTAAATCTGCTGCTAATTTTTTATAGATTTGAAGTTTATCTCAATTCTACATTTATCAATTTATCTCGTATCAATTGATTCGAACGATAAAAAATTCTCAATTTCGCTGACTTCTTTCTGGAAATTTTTGTGTAAATTACAATGCTCGGTGATTCGAAACTTTTGGCCGGTAGTGTATATCAGCGATGTGTACATCTAGTCTGTTTATGAGTGCTGTGTTTACGATTTGAAGTCGTCGAAAGTGTTGAACGTAAATTTTTCCAGTGCCATTCTTGCCCTCTATCATAGTATCGCAAGTTCGTTACCATTCCCTTTGCATTTCATATTTTCGTAATAACTTCTTAACGAAGCTTCAAACCACCTATATTTACATAACAGTTTCGACTTACTTATACCTATAGAATATACCAAGAAAGTTTGGTCGGAAAAAAACAGGGACACCCTGTATATAAAATTATACACGCGCAGGTTTCTATCCCATTTCGACGAAGATACCAGAAAGCGATACGTAACAATAATTGCACCACCGGAGTCTCTAAAATACTAAAGCATTCAATTTCCGAAATTATCCACCGTGCAACGCAACATTCGCCCCGTCGCATTATTCAAAACAGCTTACTGTTCAAACCCGCTACAGGTCACTCCACAATTCTCTCAATCGCCAAACAACCAGTTCTCGCAATACCACTTCCTCGATCAGCTCTGCACAATCTATCCAGCCAACAAGCTTCGTTCCCAACAAATCGAGCCTTTACCATTCAACGTTACGGAAACAATTTTATTCGTTCGCCGTCGACTGACATAGAGGGGACTGTACCGTACGTGGACCACGTGTATTCATCGGCAAAGAACTCGCATAACGCTTCGGCGAGGTCTGTGCTCATTGTACATGTCGAAAATGGCGTAGTCGACGGAATGCAAACGGGTTAAAGCAGCGACAGAGCCGGAAGAAAGGGTCGCGGAGCGACTATAGGCGCGCGCGTACATCGGACATTCTCCATGCTCTGCAACCCCTTCTTCCCTTCCTACGCTTCCTCCTTCACCACCTCCGCCTCCTGCTCCCTCTACCCGGTTGCTCCGGGATCCGGGTCAAACCGTTTTCATCTCTTTCGTGTATCGCGGCCTGCACGTTCGCGTTTCGACAATGAAACATCGTGCAGACGTAAATGTAAGCCGGAAAGGGGAAACCAGAACACGCTGCTCGGCAAGTCTGCGCGAGAGCGTGACTACCTGCCGGCTGTCCGGAATGCGAAACTGTCGCGGATGTGCTCCAGCCTCTAACCGTGGATACTCATGTTCTCCTATCGAGATATTGTCGCAGATTTTCATTTTGCCATTTTTCCCTACTTTCACGAAGGATCTGGTTGAATGATTTGTCCTTCTTTCTCTGGTGGTGATAGAATAGGGTAGATTGTGACACTGTTCACGTGTGCTGCTTGTAGAATTTAATTAACCCTCCTAAGTTCCTCAGAAATAGTTACGCAATAGATCAGGGGTGGCCATACCGCGGCTCTGATGCAAATAAAATGTATGTGTGAAATATGGTAAACTAAAGCTGATCAATGTCCAAAGTAATTATTTTATTTCATTTCTTGTTACAAAGTGATTTTTCAGTTTCTCATTGTTTGTTTTGTTATCAAAGATAAATAAATGGCTCTTTCAGGTATTCCTTCCTGAAATGTGGCTTCCAAAGGTACTGTAGCTGGCCACCCCTGCAATAGATCCTCGGGTGAGATTTCACCCATCGTCGCTCTATATTTTGCTTAATCGTACTAATAATCTTCGA